TATTTTAGCTCACAAGTAATCTTGTCAGTACTAGCAATTTAGTTATTGCAGATTTTCTTAATCTAACTAGCACCTACCGGTGGTTGTAAACAGCCACCGCCGCCGCAGCATGGCAGCATGATGGGTTGTTTCTTCTTTCTGTCCTTCAGCTTGCTCAGAGAAAAATTCAGGAAATACTGGCTCAGGTAAGAAGGCAGCAGCAACAGCAAAAAACATTGCAAAGCGGACAGCCTCAGCCAAGACGAAAATAAAGGTTTAGAAAACGGCCCATCAGAGACAGATGCCAGACCAAAGACAGACTGTGCGACAGAGAGACGGGTGGTGAGCACCTGTTGACGTTATATGCAGAAGATCCACCAAGCCAATCACCTGTTCGAGGACCAGGCAACCGTTGAACGCTGTCTCTGAGAATGTATTCTTTAGGCTCTCTCAAACTTTTGAAACCCAGCTTTAAAATAAGGACCCCTTCACTTCCCTTTTGTTCTATTCTCACAATTTAACATAAACTCGTTAGTCTTTTTTATTGTTCTTATTATTCCCCAACAATTTTAGAACTTGGTTTAATGAAGCTTTCTCTTCTGAGTTCACTGGTTTAAAAAAAAAAAAAAAAAAAAAGAAAAGAAAAAAAAAAGAAAAAAAAACAACAACAAAAAAAGAAAAGGCATTGCTCTTATAGGTCCAGTTGTAAAAGAAGAAACACATTTGGCGGGTGGGATTGCGGGTGGGCTGGGGTTAGAGCAAGGGTATTGACAAGAGTTTAAGTGTTAATCCCAATGTTGAAACAAGTGGCATTTTTTAAAAATAATTTGGTTGCATTTTTACATAACACTGCCATGAATAACCTAAGGGAAGTGTTGAATGGTGTTGGCCAGGGCATAAAAAGATAAATATGCATTTTACTAAACTACCTCAGGCATTTAGTACCTCAATGAGAAATTGTTCCTTTTTTGCTTTTTTTTTTTTTGGTATTTTGTATACTTTATAAAGCTAATAGTTCTTGAGCATTTTATTTTTTTAAAAAAAATTAAAATTTGATCAGCCACCAGCCAGGAGTACTACAGACTTATCGGGGAAAAATATAGTAGAGCACTTCTAGCTGCTGGCTGACGGGAGTAAGGTGGGTAAAAAAAACATAGCCTCAGATTTTCTGAGGGCTTCAACACCATCATTTGTTTAAGAAAAAAAAATTCAGTGAATGTTCAAAAGATAGTGAATGATGCCAACATTCGGATAGCAGCAATGCCGTTTAGTTTTCTTTTAAGATGGGATGAAAAAGTTTGTGACGGTACTTTTTTGGGAACAGGACAAGGAAGTGATGGCAAGAGGCTGGGGTTGGGGGAAAAATTTAGAAGGCTGCAAGAGGCTGAATTTTTTTTTGTGCTACTTGATTGAATGCATGAACCCTTTGTGCCTTTGACCATCACTACCTAATAATGCTACATTTAACCATTTGCAGCCCATTTGGACTTTGCCATTTTGTTCAAAGAGCAAGCTTCATCTTCAGTTTGATAGAACACTTGGTCTGCTAGAGAGTATTTGAGGCCGCGAGGGTCTCTGTTGTCTGCAGATCACATCATACTGCTTTCAGTTACCACGATGGGGGAAGGTCAAACAGTGTTTGATCACATTGAAAGATAATGAAAGGCTAAGTTTACATATCCAGCCGCTGTTATGGGCCACACTAAGCCACTTTGAAGGTTTTAAAAATTATTACAAGGAAAAAAAAAAAACACAAACAAAAAAAAAAAACAAAAAAACAACCACCTCTAGCCTGGCTTATAATAGATGCAGCAGGATTTATGCACGTTCTGCAACCAACCATTAGAGAAGAAAAAAATGTCAAAAGGCAGGGATAACAGGAAAGTTACCAAATTTAATTTCCGAATGTAATTTGAATGATGATTGTGGTAATAGTGACACATTCAAGTTTCTACAATAAACTTCAGTCTACCTCAATTTAAGAAAAAAAAAAAAATATGTGGCAACACATGGTGCATAAAGACTGCTGTGTGTGTGTGTGTGCGCGTGCGCGCCTGTATGTGTGTGGTCGACAGAGCCATGCTATTACCTCTGAACCTTTTTTTGTGATGTTTTTTGTGCATGAGATGATCAGAATCACCATGCTGCACTGATTTGAGGGGCACAACGAGCAAAAACATTTGTTTCATCATTTTGTTATCTACCTCTTAGGTTCATGTTGAAATAGAGGCATTACTACATAGACTTAGATAATCTTCCCAAAGATCATTGTTGTACAGATTAGATAATTTTGAAAATGGTCTGAAGTGTTTTTCCTGCATCTCTTCTTTACTAATTGGTTTAAAAACCACAAACTTATGTTGTAGTTTTAGCAAAGAAAAATTGAGTTTCTTTTCCTTTTTTGACAGTGACCTTCATCTAGCCTTTAGGATAATTTTTTTTTTTTCTTACAATGAATTTAAAATTACTGAAGTATGAAAAGTCATAGTATTTTAATTTTTGTTGAGGCTTAAGTCAGTCTGACGTTCCTTTCTTAACGTTTGAGAAGGATTTGACTTCATTATTTTCCATAAAAATTACTTTACAAATAGGCGCTGCATTTACATCTGTTGATTTAAATTCTGTCATATCTCTTAAATTTCTAGACTTAGTATGGTAAATCATGTTTTTCTTTTCAATTGAGACTTGGTAATTTGGAGTATTTGGGAATAGCTAGAAAGTAAATACTGTAAATGATTTCAGTATCCACAAAGTATGGATCATTTTTCATCTGTAATGTGCCCCCCAATGCAGCTCCACTTGCCAGATGCCTCTGAATGGAATAAAGAGTTTAACTCCTATCATCAGATAAAGTCGTGTGGTGTTTTTTTAAAGCTAATGAGGCGTAGGCACAGACTGCTCTAAGTAGTTGGGGTACTTTGATCAAGTTGGTTTTCTGTCCGTAACGCTGACTGGATAAGGATGAAGAGTCACCCGGAGGGCAAGCACTAACCTGGATGCCCTTCCCAATACAAGCAGGGACTTCTGTGGCGCTTAGTTCAACTTCTCTCTCTCAGCTACCAACGTTACAGCCTGTACTACACCCTGCAGTTCATGGTTCAGCCCTACGCAGATTGCTTAGGCCGATCGGCCGTGAAAGGGATTTGTACTCGGCCGTCCTGACCCGGGGCAAGCTTGAAGGAATCTTTAATGGGTTTGAGTTGAGATCTGAACTGTAGTCAATGATTTTCTCTCCTGGCTGCTTTTTCACCCAATCTTTACTTTGCTCTCAGCGTGATGAAGCTGTGTAATGAAGACGGGCCTAGAAGCTCAGCTAGGCAGAACCAGTCCCACCAGCGAGCAGCTGGGATGGCAACCGGTACCTCGCTCCTCCTGGCCCCCACCCAAACACAGGCCCCTTGCCAGTGAGGCCGTATCACCTCACCAACTCGATCCTCCTTAAAATTCTTTGGAATGGAAATGAGACTAGGTGAACAATTCAGAGAGGGGGGGGTTGGGGAATGAAGCTCTGTCATGAATAATATAACGCTGTATCCTTTGAAGGGTGGAAAACCAATCTTGCAATCCTGTTTTCCAAACTCTTGTACCTGCCCGCTTGTCTTCACAGCTCGTTTACTGGGACCAACCAGCAAAAAGAGGGAACTGAAATTCTGTCTGCAGGAGACACCGCACGGGGTACTGCATTCCACAGGCACCTCTAAGCTCACTTTTCCATGCCAATATTGAACTATCTTCTCAGAACCAGCGTCTGCCCTTTGAGCAACATAAGTTAAACCTTCCTCTGTATTGCTACTGCATTTGTGGCAGCTAAACTGTTTTAAGCATTTGTTTAATCGTGATGCTTTTATTTGTTTCTGACCTTACGAAGATTTTATTCCTAAGCTGCAATTTCAAAGGCATGTGCCCTTTGTATTAGTTTCCATTAAACAAAGCATGTATGCTGTGCAGGACAGTATGGTCTCAACGTGGTACTAGAGCACGGGATTTTTAAATGAACATGAAAAATTGTAGAGTAAGCACTCGAGCTGGGCTGCAAGAGATGTTAGCTCACCTGCTGGACACAAACGCTGCTCAATAACAAAGTTACTCAAATGCAGTGCAGCAACTTAGTGAAATGATGACAAAAGTTCCACCTTGATAATTGTTTCTCCTCTTCACCCCATCATCAAGGGATCCTGCACAGAGCTGAACCTGCATCTACCTCTACAGGAGGCCTGAATGATCAATCTATAGACTCCCTGGACAAGCTGCTCGGTATTTTTATTTTACACCAAAATCACCTGCTCCATAGAACTGAAACCATTCCCAAATGTTTGCCTTCCAGAAGGGGTTTAATGCTGCACAGTCCCGATCACTCAGACTTTGTTAACTCCTAGGTGCCAGTTTCCAAGAGGCTGGGGCATGGCCAGCCCAGGTTACAACTGCTGCTGTTAATTGGGGGATGAAGAAATTCCTTCCTTGAGCTGACACTTCGGTTTATTTAACAGAATATATAGCTCTATAGCTCCTTTTCACAGTGTGTTTTCGCAGTAACTTCAGCTAGACTTGTTTATTTTACTGGCTTTTGTCTCCTCGTTTAATTTCTGGTTTGTTGGGTTGGGTTTTTTTGGTCTTGTCTTACAGACTATTACCCCTTTCCAGCTCTGAGTGTCCCAGTCTGTTCAGACAGAAACTGTTCTCTATCTTACTGTTCTTTTCTGGGTGCTACTTTTGTTACTGTGCTCTTTGAGACAGGATACTTACTGTATACAGTTCTGGTTACTAGATGTGGGTCCACACAATGACATAATGTTTGCTGAGCCTGCACTCTATTAATTCTAGTATCACTTATCTGCAGCAGCAGCAGCAAAAGGCAAATGATTTCAGGGAATGATCCAAAGTTACTCCTGTTTATCCCTCCTAGGGGAAAATGTCTGATTTAGAACCCATCACTCCGTAAGACAGCTGTTATCTTCCCCCATGTGGATTACTTATTGACAAATATCATGAAGCATTTTGAAAATCTATCTTTGCAGTCAGACTTACCATCAATATCTTTATTTTGTGGGCAAATACGCTTTATCTGCATAGTTTACATTTAATAAATTCTCCTTGCTTAATCTGCAGTCTGCTTCCTCGTATCAACAAGTAGGTGCACTCAGGGGCAGTTATTCCTGAAAGAGGCTAGACACAGCAAGAAAACATGATCAGTCTGAAACAGAGAAGGTTTTTTGGTTTTGCTTTTTAAAAAAAATCAAACCACCCCCCTCCCATTAAACAACTCAACCCCAGGCACAAAAAACAAAGTCACTTTCTTTAAGCATTTTGAAATAGTTTGTGTGGCTATGGAGGAAAACGGTGATCACCCTCAGGATCTGCTGTTCCTGTTTCTTGACGCCTGGCAGAGCAAGCTCCTCCAGAAGGAAGACATCCTAATCTAGTGCTGAAAGTCCTGTCCTGGAGTGGAGAAAAGCATCTTGTTTTACACAGACAAGTTTTGTTGCCATCTTGAAGCTCTTCTAACTGTAATAGACTATGCAGCAGTCAGATTAAGAACACGCTGCACAATGACTTCTGGAAGTGCTGAACAGTACATTAGCAGCAAGCTATGCTCAGTGCCTAAGGACTTTCACCTTTAGAACTACTTTCACCCACTTCAGAGGAGCTGAAGGTTTATACTACCCTAGCATTTTGCCTCGGTGTCATTTTTCCAGAAACTAGGTGAGCGGAAAACTAGGAGAGGTGCCAACTGCACACTCAGAATGAGTTGAATGTTTTAACGTGACGACAAGGAACTGAAGCTCTCCAGGTTTTTTTTATTATTATTAAAAACAGCCTGGCCTTGGCTGAAAAAAAAATGACTTACTGTTCTGTTAGACACATTTATTTGTCACTGCTGCTCTTCACTTTTACATGCTCAGGAACACTAGTCTGTTTTCTCTTTCAACCCAGAGCATGACTTGCTTCATCTTGACCAGAAGCAAATGGTTTAATACAAGAAGCCTCATTTAAACTGTACTATTTCACCTGGGTGAAATAGTAGCACTTGGGTCTCTTTGGCACTGTCACTATCAGCAGGTCATTCAAAGATACTAGAAAAACAATTACTGTAGAGGCTGAGCATGAGTTTCAGTGTAAGTAGCTTAAGCAGTTGTCTTTGCTTCATTCTTTTCACCGCAAACTCCACCGAGACAGTAACTCCCCCCAGAAGCTCCCTTATGATAGGATTCCTTCTTTGACATTTTAGGGTTGGATTTGATCTTAAGGGTCTTTTTCAACCTTACTGATTCTATGATTCTGATAATTTTTGTAGCTCGTTCAGAACTTCACCTAGGCACATCCAACAACTACACTGTTTTGTACTGATCAGTTGTAATGACTAGTATTAAGTCAGTAATCATGGTGTGTGTGTGTCTCAGATCCATGAAGGCACACTCCTCTCTCTTTCCAACTCAGCAGCTGCATTACATTCTTGTCTCAAGATGATCAGTGTTGTTAGGAGTCAGTCCAAATATAAAGTCTTCTGGCAATGACTGTGGAGTCATCTGTGCTAACTGGTCATCGTAGGAACCAAGAGTCCATAGCTTCTCCAGTTCATAAACCTCTCGTGTCTCTGGCAGCATGAGATGCATCACTATGCTACCTGCACAGAACAGAAATTCACAACAACTTTCCGTTAACTGTAAAGCGCTACCAGGTGTGTAGAGTTCAAGTCTTCCACCCCCACTGTGGCTAGATATAACAGGTCAGCTGATGGAGGTTACTCCTTAAGCTGCTGATTCCACTTCTTGAATAGCTTTAGGAATTGGTCAGTCCCTCAAAAGACTCTGAGGCTACAGCCAGGAGAATGAGAGGGATAATATTTGGGTTTAAATTAAAATGCTACCACGAGGCACCAGACCAAAGAAGTTATGACTGCTAGGGGAGAGAAGAATGTCAAAAGAAATTTAACTTAAAATAGTCCCCTCCTTGAGGTTACAGATGGACTTTCAGCCTTCCTCTATCACCAACAACATTCAGCTATAGCCAAGTAATTTCCCTGAGGTGTGTTGCTCACCCTTCTCAGATGGTTTTTATAAGGAAACAGGTCCAAACTTTGACATAAGGTTTTTCTTGCAGGTTTTCATTAATTCTGTGCAAACAGCAGTGGATTATGTTAATGCCAGTATACTTCTAATGCACTTTTTTCTCGTTATGCCCTTAAATTTCAATTAGTTGCCAGTTATGCTACCAATATCATTGAGAGTAAAGTAACCAAGGCTTAACGTCCCTAGCTCCCATGCTCCTCACTCACCCATGCTCTCTTTTAAGCCAAAACACAAAGTCAGAAGGTGAGATTCTAGAGCCAGCAGTGAAGGAGAAATGCTTTCTGAATGCAGCGTTTTTCCTGTTTGTATAAACAGTTTCACATTTGTAGAATAAGGAACTAAACTCAACTTCTTAGGACTGAGGTTTTACCACGTGCGATCTGGACAGTGGAAAAGTCTGTTCAACAGTTCACTGCTGAGGCAGCATACAAAGAGCCCCCGCTCACCCGAACAGGGATTACATAAACCTGAGCAAATTGACTGAAGTAGCTCTCCTGTTTCCATTACTGTTTCCTGCAATGGATTAAGACCTGTTTTAGCAACTGAAGAGTAGTTACTGCTCCCTCCTCAGTGACAATGATCTTGAGTGAAAATTTATTTAGTATCTCAACGACTTCGAGCAACAACTGGAATTCCAAAACCTCAGAGTATTGTGAACATGCCACAGCAACCAGGGTTCATTGCAAGATGCTTCCTTCAACACAGAGCTCATGCAGAACCTCGTATTTATCAGATTCACAAATATTTACCAAAATCAATGCACAGCCAGTCATCTGTCTCTTTCCCTTCAATCCGAGTATGAGGATCACTTTCTTCTTTGTAATGCTTGTACTGAGGGAAGAAGCAATGGCAGAAAATGAAATACTCTGCATTTATTTAAAAGCACTCAACAGATAAATTGGGCTCTACTGAGTTGTTTTAAATCTTAAATAGGTTAAATTACTGTACAAGAATAACATACACTTGCAGCACTGGAAAATAAGTACAGATTTCTCAATGGGATTTAGTATCAAAGCTGGAATCCTGATGTTCAGAATTCCCATACAGTTATCCATGAATTTCATAGGTGTCCATTTTTTCCTCGAGATAAATACTGAATACAATTGCTCAGCATTAGTCTTTCAGTTATCAGTTCCCTGTAGCTCCTATTAACACTGAAGTTTTATTTCCTTTCAGAAACCTTTAACTGTTGTTTTACATTGGTTAGCTAAGGATGCAGAAATGGATATGCCAAGCTTATTCTCTTTTCAGACGGAAGGGAGTGAAGAGAAAACAAGTTTCAACCCACGCCATGAGGAAAGCATTCAAACAAGGCTCCTTGCTGTTGAGCGCACGCTCTCAACGTTCACTGCAAGATGGGGGAAAGCACGACTGCCCCCCCAGGTTTCCAAGCTATGAACCACTGTGAAACAGGGGAGAGGGCAGCTCAAAGCATGACTGCAGACGCTCAGCTAAGGCAAGGTAGGTAGTTCCCTACGCAACGCGGTGGCGTTCATAGATGCCAGCTGGAAAGGCTCAGCTCTCCCCACCTAGTACATAAAGAACCTTCACCAGAAGTGAAGAAATTTGCCAACTGGAGGCTTAAGTACTGTCACTTCAGGATCTGGCCATAACCTGTTTGCTTCATCAACAACCAAAAAAAAAAAAAAAAAGAAAAAAGGACTGAAGTCAACTGCATCTTCACAGAGTTCCTTATTCAGATTTCTACTTTATTTCTAGTTGAAACAGTCAGCCAAAAAATATGGAAATCTTTTTCAAGCTAAATTTAAAAAACAAAGCAAACAATATCTATTTCAGCACAAGGCCACAAGGAAACGGGGAGTGAAACTGCATGGCTCTAACAGTCCTTCCAGCCATGAAAGACAAAATACAAACTAACAGGTTGTAACAGCATGGCTGGCTAGCAAATGAGTCGCTTCACTGGCAAAGCAATTATCACAAAATGCAACTGTTTCTGGTCATTTCCACACAATGTTACCTGCCAGACAATGGCCCCAGTTTGCAAACCAGAACAGAGAACTTCCAAACTATAATTCAGAACTAGTTCTACCTTACTTTAAGATAGCCTATGAGATATCCTCAAAAGCAGGTAATTGTCAAAGACTCCCTGAAAGTCTGCTTAAAATACTAAAGAGCCCAGCATGCACTGCCATCAGCTTTGTAATTGAGGTCAGAAAGGCTGATCTCCACTGCAAGTTTCCTTCAGCCTTGTCTTTAAAGGCTGTGTAATGGGGAACAGATTATAATGAAGTCAAGCATTAATTTCTTCCTCTAATATGAAACCAGAGGGGAAAGGGTAAGCAGTCCCCAACTAGGGACTTTGCCATTTATGAGCTACTGGAGGAAAAGCAGAAAGACCTCACGCTACCCATGAGCGCCTCTGCATTTTACTGTAAATCATGACTTACCAGAACGTTTTAGGTACTGCAATGGTAAAGCTAGCCAGCTGCCTAGCAGCACTCCTGAGCACCTGCTCTGCTTTACATCTGAAGCTTGAGCTTATGTTTTGCCTAGAAAACTGTCAAGGCCAGGCAAGCTGAGCCACTCTTGTGTACTCAACCAGGTTCTCCAGGAAGACACCACGTTTCCCCGGAGAAGAGCTGCTCCTACAGCCACCAGAGGGAGCAGCCAGTTGTCACACATGCATGGTTTTGCAAGGGGGGGGGGGGCATTCACTGCTCTCTCCTGGGCTGGGGGAGATGAGGAGCTGTTGATTTAAGACTAGCAAGTCATACAAGTAATAGAACACATATTAAGCATTTAAATTTAATACAGTCAAATCGCACTAACACAACCTCTGCCTTAAGGCAAAATTTTAGTTTGCAAAGGTGCATCAGTTCCTGCAGAGAACACGGAAACTTCCATCACCTGCTCAGAAAGGCACTGAAAAGCAATACCACCTCTTCTTCTTTCCTTCCCTCCCTCAAGTCTCACAGCTGAAATCAATAGGACTGGAAGGAAGAAAGTAAAATCAAGAGACAGGAAAAATGAGGTCAGGAAGGGGAAGAAAGTGCACGGAGAGAAGACAAACTACAGGTTGGGTACAGACAGCTGACTGAGATGCGGCTAGTCATATTCCTCACACTGTGCTTTGTGGCAGTCAGCTGGATCTTTTCTGGACATAAAGTTTCTCCCTCCCGAGTCTGGTCCTTATGCCTAAACTCTGCCTGTATCTTTATTCTGACCTCTATTTTTGTACTAAAAAGTTCACATTCTGCCAAAGCCAAACAGTGCAAGATTTCTGTGCCAGGATGGCGGCTGCTGCTTCTCCTTTCCTTCTGTACACGCACAGTATGGTGACTATTAACTAGCAATTTGCTTCAGTAAGCCCACAAGGGGATCCTGTGCCTCATAACATGACATCTTTTTTCCAGCCTCATGATATATCTGAAAGCCTGAAAATTTTAGGGATTAGGGTTTGAGAACAGTCAGATTAAGCTATTTTGAATGAGTGAGAATAGCTATGAAGCTTGATGGATGGAATATGAAACTGGACAGAGGTCATCATGACCGTTTCATATCACTCTTGTTATAGCTAATATCACCATTGCTCTACATACAGGGAGGTCTGTTTTTAAAATATATTCTCTACATTTTGAGTAGTGCCACCAAAGGAAAAAAGTACAGTTAGTTGCTAGATGTATTCAGGATTAAATGACATAAGGACCATTAGTTTCATCTTGCCTACTACACCCCTATATGTACAAACCTGGGGAAACTCCTTTCACAACATTTCAAGCATTCCCCAAAACCCAGAGAGTGCAGTGGGAACTGTCTTACCATTTTCAGCATGTAATGTGCCATCGCATGGAGATGTCGTGTTGAAGATCCACTCACAATTATAAAATAATCACAGTATTTTATTTCTGGAGGTATCTGGATCACACAGATGTCTTTAGCATTTTCTTGCCTGAGCAGAGATACAACAAAGTCGATGTTGAACTTTGGAAGAACAGTACCTGGAACAGACAGAAAAAATAAAAATACAGTAGCAATTATCTTTTTAATTCCAAAAATCAACCACTTAAAATGATGTAAAATGGCAATTAACTGAATTATAGCCTAAGCTAGCCACTCACTGTTGAGTTTGGTTTGATACTGACAATGCAACACGAACTGCAGATTTTTAAAAATCATTTTTAAAACCATCCAAGTTGTGAAATAAGCACTCTTCTGGTAAATAACACGCTATCACTAGCTACAGCAGTTAGCAAACATCAAAGTTCCTTTTAGGTAACTTATTTCTTGTTGTTAGTACTTAAGAGTCAATGCTATCATCAGGTATTTGTCAATTAAGACATTATTACAACAATGGACAAAATTAAAAATATTTCAGAACAATGCTTTTCAACAGGTCTGTGATAACACACGGTGATGAAATTACTCTAAAATCTTAAGTAGATTAAACCAATATATCGAAAATAGAGCCAATGTGATGTGTGAAGGTACTTTGTATCTTCATGCTGAATAAAACCACTTCTTTTTCTTTTTCCTTACCCTGTTCTGCCACAGAGGATTACAATACTGTAGGCAAAGCTGTAGTCCTTCAACAGTTTAAGATAGCCAGTTTAGAAACTAGTAAATTAGTGCAACTACCTTCTGTCCACACCATGAGATCAGTTTATTTCCATTTTGCCCTAATTAGGTAGATGCAACTTATGTGCATACTTAAGGAATAATTTGAATCTGTCAGCAATGCATGCCTGCCACTATAAAGTGAACATTAGTGCAGACTGAGCATCAGCACAAAGCCAAGCTTTATATTTACCAATATAGAGAAAAAGCCAAACAAAAGAACAATAGCTACATATTATATGCATGAATGGGGATATGAAATTGGATCAGATCTCTGTAAATGAAAGCCTTTGAGCTTAGAGACTCAAGCACTCTTTCAACTTCTGCTGTGGTCACACATGCAGAAAATTAGCAGTGGCCACAGCTCCTCCAGACGCAGCAGTTACAAAAGTTAAATATTTGCCTGGTAGCCACATGTGAAGTCTCTAGTGCCTACTTAAAGAACGAATGGTTTAAACAACCCCAGGCACACTCTGCCACACTGAACGTCACAGTCAGCTGCCGGCTACAGAAGATTTGCAGAAGAGCTACAACAACAGACCAGCTCCGTGCACATGATGCTCATGGCCATAACCAGCCCCTGTGCTACTAGAACGGTTATCTACACAGAGAAATTTCTTTGAGAGCGTACATCAGAGAAACACACCTCCAACTCAGCACCACTACCCTCATAAAAGTTCCTGTACACACTGGCTCGGTCTACGCGAGCCAGCAACTCCACACTTTAGAGCAAGACTCGGGAGGGGATGACGGTTCTGCACAACCACCGTGACCCTTCAGGCCTGTGGTCCCGGCCGAGGTAAGGGCGATTCCATCACACCAGGCACTCCCAGGATCCTCCCGCTGCTGCAGAATGAGATTCCGCGCGTGCCGAACAGCTACTTTCCTCCCGAGGCGTCACGTTTTGCTGAGGGCACCATTTCGCAGAGCTGGGGCCTTCGGGTCGGTGGCCCCCTCGACATCCCGCCTCACGACCACGCTCGGGCCTGCCGGGCCAGCGCCTCGCCTCGCCCGGAGGCCGCGGCACCGCGGCAGCCAGGGCTGCGCGCCCGCGGAGTTACCAGCCCTGAGGGCGCCTAGGCAGCCCCCTCCCGCCCCGGTTTACCCCCGCAGCTAGGCCGCCCTTCGCTGGGCCCTACCTGCCGCCTGGCGCCGCTCCACCGCCCCCAGCGCCCCGGCTCTGAGGCCTCCCACGCCCCGCGCCGCCGCGCAGCCCCCGCGGGGAGCCCCGGCCTCCCGCGGAAGCGGCTCCGGCCGTGAGGCGGCCCTCACCGCGGCGGACACAGGCCGCAGCAACCGGCCGCCAGCCGCCGCCCGCCACATGCCCGCCGCCGCGCTCCGGCACCGCGCCCCGCCCTCCCCGGCCGTGCCGCCACAGCCATTGGCCGGCGGCAGCGACGCCCCTCTCGCCTCATTGGCGCATCCTGCCGTCCGTCGGGCAAGCGCCGTTGGGCGCGTGCGCGGCGGTTGCCCTGAGGCGGCCCGGCCCAGCCCCGGGGCGGCCCCGCTCCCCCGTCGGGGAACCGATGTTGGGGCGTCGATAGGGAACGTCGGGGCGCGCAGGGGACACGGCCTCGCCCACCCCGAGCCTGTTGGCCGCTCCTCGGCAGTGTCTTCTGTGGGGTGTCCGAGCCACGGGGCGGTGAAAGGGGAGGGATCGTGGAGAAGGGATGGGACCTGGACACCGGTAACCGGCGCTCTGGTGCGATGGTTTGCTGGGAAGCTGGAAAGGAGCAGACCCCCAAACGTCGACACTGCCATATAAACCCTGATCACGTATCCCATTTCAAGCCTTTTGCCCACTTTTAAAGGCCTTTTTAAGGCCTCAAAAATTGCAGCTAGTTTGAAACATATATTTTTATTGGGAAACTGTATTTCACATTTGTGTAATTCCCATGTAGTGCTAACAGGTGCAGGGTAGTAGTCTAGCTTTGTTTTCTTATGGAGAATTGTCGTCAACGGTTAAAAAGCTATTTGTATTTCTTGAAAAGTATTTGTATTTACTGTGGGTGAACCATGTTTCCTTCCACCATGTACCCCTGGAGATGTTGTCATTTACACTGCCAGTAAAATAAAAAGAATTACTGTTCAGATTGTTTTACACTCCCTCACTGAAAATTAGGGTAAAATAATGGTATTAAGACATAAAAGGCATAATCTTGTGAATTATAAAGCTTTGTAATGATAAAAGCTTTAGCTTTGAAGGAGATTTGACTATGCTGTACAGGGCTGGAGGTGGTCAGTTGTACTAATAGACCCCAGTGTCTGGATGTCTCTTGCAAAGTCATAGCATGATTTCTCTACAGTTCCTTCAGGGGCTGGTATTTTTGAGCCTTAGTTTCAGCTTAAAAATACTTCAGGTAAGAAAAAAAATGCTACATCTGATGTGTGTCTTAATTGTGTGTGATAAAAAGTGTTCAAGAAGAAAAGAGGGGAGGAGCAAAACAAGCAGTTTGAAATAATACTTCAATTTTTAAAATATTTTTAAACAAAGTTGTTACCCAACTAATGTTTCTGTTTCCCTTGACGACATGTTTGAAAAGATGTTCTTTCTAAAGATGATGTGCATTTATGTTTGATGTCATTCTTTGATGTTACTTCTCCAAACGGGATGTCTGAAACCTGTCTTGTAACATTTGCTGACGTTCAAAAATCTGTTGTTTGTCAGCTGCTCTTGCCTTTGAAGGACATGAAGTTCATTTGTGTCTTGATCTGTGCTGAAATTGGGTCCCTCAAGTGTCATCTGGTTGTTAAGAAAGTCTCCTCATTTCTCAGGTTTGTGATGCCATTGCTCTGAGTACACTTGAAAGGAGACTGCAAAAACAGCTAGATAACCAATGGTAGTACCAGCTGTGCATAAGTGAACTAAGACTGAGGTAAATCCAATTGTGTTTTCTGGAGGTGGATACTGTTGTGATCGGTCATTAGGCAACTTGCTTATCTCGTGGTATCTCTGAGAAAAAAGAAATGCACACTTTAAAATCATTAGACGGTTTATTTGTCAATGCAGCAGTTAGATTCCATTGTATAAAAGTAAAGATGTATGAAATGGAAGTTACAACTGAAAAGGCAAAATCAAATTATAAAAATTTAATACTATGACATGATATTTAAAGGAAGATAGTGCAAGCTATTCTACACACATTATATATATATATTAAAGGATAAAAAAAGTCCTTAAAGTATATGAAAGCTTAAGACGTCTCTGAGCACCTAACATGCACTGTTTTGCTGAAACAAGATGCTTTCTGCATATAGCCTAGGTCAGTGGTAGCCTGTGTCTTCATTGATCCTAAGCATTATAGCTGTGACAGATTTAATTTTTTCATGCTGCATTACAGGTCATCTTAAGCTTTCCACTAAACCCCTGTCCTGCCTCAAGCTAGAGCAACAAGTACAAATTACAGTTCTTCCTATCAGCAGTCTGACTGATAACAGAGGACATAACAGACAGTAATTTTTGCAGGAAATGTGTATTTTTTAAGTCAGAATGTATTTTTAGATGCCCAGTTATGCTTAGACAATAGGATGTTATGTATAAGGAAGATGGAACGATGGCAAATATGGTGCTTTTAATAATATAACTGAAGTGGCCACAAAATAATTAAAATAATTGGAGAACCTGGAAACAAAAGAAGAAAAGAGGCTGTTGAATTTTAAAGATAAAGAACTGATCTCAAAGGTATGTTTGAATCTGCTTTTTTAATATTCTTAAGTCATTTAAAGGTGTCTGTGCACACTGGGGAAGTGGTAGTGAAGACTACATTCAGATTACAAATGATGAGCATTCGACAGATCTGCTAAAATACCAAGAAAATATGTATATGCCTGTATATCACCTCAGGAACTGAGAACAATATGTATCAGAGATGTTCCAAGACACAGTAAATAAGTTAATTATATCAATAATAGAGATCTTCAAAGAATTTGGTGTTTAGAAATTGATTGTGTAAAGTCATTTGCTCAGCCCCCAGCTGAAAGTTAATTTCACTTTGATTATAACCTTTAATATTAACATCAAGGCTCTTATGGAACTATTTAAAGCATTTTCGGTCTGTTTTCTCATTTCAGTGAATCTTTTTAGCAACTTCTTCCCTTCTACAAATAAGATGCTCTCCTTTTCTTATCATCCAGTAATCCAGCCTTCAGCACTTTGCTTCTGGTCTCGCACTGTGAAACACCACGATGCAGAATGATGAGCACACATGGCTAGAAGACCAGATCACTTGGGAAAGGCCACAACATGAGTTTTCTTAACACAGAATTGGAGCTAGAATGAACAAGTGAAGGCACATTGATTTTGCAGAAGTTTGCACTTTCTGAGCTGCATTATGCAAAAGCAGAAACTGGAGCATAGTGTTTTATTTCTACTGGGGTTTTCATTTATTTGATTAAGTGGTTAAAGGCAGGGGAATGGAGGAACAAGCAGAAATTAATGTATCTGTACAGCCAGAGAGGAATGAAAAGAGAAGGGGAAAAGGGAGTTGAATGCTGCCCCTTCCTGATAGAACCCTCATTCTGCTGACCCTTGCACATGGAGCATGTCTGTCCTCTGGGGACTGGTAGTTCCAGGCCAGTGTCTCAAGACCAATGGAAACAGAGGAGACGAAGGCAGCATCAGCAATTGCATCTAAGGATTTTACATGTGACTCTGAATAAAAGTTTCAACAGGGAGAGCCAAGCAGATGGGCCTCATCTTGTTGCTCGGGTGTCTGTGGTCTAGTTTATAGTGAGTCTTGTGCACTGGTAGCCATGTCCAGTAGGAAACTAAATATGTCCAGCTCTGTTTTCTGGTCCTGAGGCCAACTGACATGTAATGAGCTGCATCTATGCTATTGAACCCTGCAAAACATGGTGGCTGCTGCCAAACTCCCAGTGGGGAAGAGTGCCTCCAGTGGTTCCCAGAATTTGGGGTTTGCTTGGTGGGGAGCTAGGATGCCTGGGGCAAGACTGTTCTAGGACCTCCTGAACAGTGTAACAGTGTCTATGGTTCACTGTCGATGCCTGGGAGTAGGCCATGGCATGTTTCAGTCCACAGACATAACATGTGCCTGCCCTCTGTGTCTCTCTTTCTAGCAAAGGCATGAGTCCTGCTAAGGCAGTAAGCAGCTATACCGGACTGACTATTTCAGACTAAGTATTTACAAGCTGTTTGTTTGGGGTTTTTTAAATTGACCTTTTTTCCCTCCTCCAGATTATGGATCTGATTAGATTTGCAGGTAGTTAACCTAAAAGTAAGAAAACCCAGATATGGGAGAGGCGGGTGTTAGTTATTCAGAAGAGTGTATCCTAGATCACAAGCAAGAACAGCAGGTGCTCAAAACTACCTCATTGTTTCCTATGAAGGACTATTTTAACATTTCTAATTGCACCAAGCCCCTCAAAGTTACCATCCCATCTATATGTGCTTTCACCTTACCCCTTGTTTTTTTAGAACAAGAAAACCCCATCAAAGTACAGCTCAGATATGAGTCTTGTATGTAATCTAATAGTCAGTGTTACACTAAAAGTTTAAACAATGCCTGGCTTGCTTTTCAGCAGAGGATTTCTCTCCGTGCTACTAGGGAAGAAAATCGCTTTGAAATTGCTGAAGTAAGCAGTTAGTCCCTCCTGGTTCTCTGCTTGTCCTGTGCTTCTCTCAATGGGCTTGTATTGCTTGTATCTCCTGCAAGGAATGCGCACAGTTAGTTGCTGAAAGACATTTAAATGAAAATCGACATTTAGCATATGACCAGTACATGTATTAATCATGTACTTATAACATATTCTCTCTCCTCCTTCCCTCTTCAATCCCATCTGATGATGAACAGCCATAGGTCAGTAGTGCTGACTGAGGCCTGATGAATGAGAAGGCTTCGTTGCTTAGTGGAGTGCTGTGGCTCTGTGGAGGTTTTTCTTTCTCAATACTGACTGTGAAGGGTGAGCATACTCTCGATTCAGGAGTCTTGATGCAGTTACATGAAAAACATCCAAGCTAATAATGCAGTAACATGTGCCTCTGTTTACTTTCCTGCATGCCCAGCACCTTTTCCCCAAATAATTTATTTGTCAATTATTTAATGAAGAATTTTGATGATTAATTCTTGATCCGTCAGTCATTTGCAAACACTTCTTGTAAGAGTTTTAGAGCTAAATTAAATTTCTGTTTGCTAGGTTTTACTGCATATATAAATCACATCATGCAGTTTGAGTTTGCTTACTGCTTACATGCAGTTCCCTGGCCTTCTAGTATTACTATTTGTGCGTATGAGCACAGAATATAATTTTCTGTTGAAGTCTTCAACATTTGCATATTTTCCAATGGTTTTTCAGTTTAAGCTAGTAACCTAATTTTCTTGAATATT